ACCGGTAAACGATCAATGGTGAAAGACAAATGGTGGTATTTTGTAATGATTATTGAGTCGCTACTCAACAGACACTAAAAACTCCGCATGAATAGTTTTGGCTGATTCTTTTTTTGGTCAAAATCAATACAGACCCCTCCACGCACCAGATCATTCCTTTCTTTTTCTCATCGTAHATCAACCGCCGAAGCACGACATACAATATTCGACCATGTGCTAGCATCTCTCGGTAAAATTTTAACGAGAGAGTTAAGTTTAGTTTTTTCTCTCCAATTATCATACAAAAACAGACATGTGCACAGACTATAGTGGGCCCCGTTCCTAAGATATTTGGAGAAGTTTGTAGGGCCGTTAAACCCTGAGCCCTTAGCGTGTGTGGAGGGCCTCATCACAATGATTTATGAGTTCTCTGGCTATTGTTTTATGGACGAGTATTGCTAGATAATGTTGTCAACGCTAGGAGTACTACAAGAACGGAATAAAGTGTTGTTCACTTTGTAATGAAGAGTTAGGTTTTCTGATACTGTGGCCATCGAATTTTCACACCTTTAATATCCCGCAAAGCACAAAACGGATACATCACGGTAAAAAAAACCGTTTTTCTCGTCTATTTGGTTAGAGGTCATTGTACGGAATTCTGGTGACAGCTTAGGAGACATCGACATCGCGACATCGCGACAGCCCGAAAATGTCTTTGGATGACGGGAAAACACAATCAAAAAGACAAGTTTCGGTGAGTCTAATTTTTCACACACTGCTCGTGTGTTAGGGGACCAATGTTTGATTATGATAAGAAGCTAAAGTGTTAGATGTCGAGATGAATAAAAGTTATGTCACCCRATCTGATCGACAGATCTGACAAAAATTCTACACCTTTTGTAGTGAATATTTCGCTTCAATACACCTTAATCTAACTCTTTCAACCGGTAAAAAACACATCAAAATTAACATGCAAAGACACTAAAGTTATCACATCTCTGTTAACTCTTTTAGCGATATCCTACTAAAGGTTTCCTGATATCCAATTACGTCTCGATTCGTCTTCAAATCAGTTTAAATTCATTTTGGCAAGTTTTAGTTCTCCAAAGCGTTTCGTGCGTGCATTCTGACAGCTCCACGAACTACATCACGTGACCTAAGTCGACCGATTTGTGATGCACGGACAAAAGATGCATAAAGCAAAGGGCGGAGCCTCTCACRAAAAAGTTTCAAGAACAAAATAAAAGGCGACTAAACTAGTTCCCGTCAAGTTTTTGATTGATCGGGAAGCACGACTACTTAACAGTCGATGAAATGTGACAAAGATGACGCTCTTGCACACGGGTTTTCTTATATTTTGAGGCGTCTTTCTATTAGCATTTCGACTAGACAGCTTTATTTTCTTGCCTAACACAAAGACATTAGAAATTACATTCCAAGATCAGATAATCCCAGGGACTTTTAGCAATCTAAATATTGATTGTGTTCTTAGATGTTTGTGCTTCTTGTAATGGTTGTGCTGCTAAGATCATTTAGATTTTTAGCCCACCACATTTTTGGGTCTTTGGGGGAAACTTCGCGGGACCAACGTACGCTAACTACAACCGCATGGTCCATGATTTCAAACATTATTGTTATTATTGAAAATAATAAATGATCTTATTTCGTTTCCTCAGTCCATAGACTAAAATCTTGTCTGTATGAAAAGCAATTAAGATATGAACCAACGTCAGTGTTGTTTTTTTTTTCTGTGTTAGTTTGTAGAATAACAGTAAGCTTTTCATAAACTGCGGAAATCGCAAAAGTTTATTTTACCCCAGAACTGAAATTCGCTTCCTATCTTTCAAGTAAAAACAGCAAAAAATATTTGTTATTGTTCCTCAAATGCCGCAAATCTGTCATTTTTATTGCATTGAAGTGGATACGTTGTAAGGTGACCAGACATAGAGTTCTTAGAGGCTAAAAGGTTAATATGTGGTTTCTTTTCAAAAATGATTGGTTACTTAAGCCCGACTGCTCTGTGCGGTTCTGAGGTGTAACGTCCAAGAAAATAACATGAACCGCGAAACAAAGGGGAACCTTTCCCGCCCTTTGCTAATTCTATGGAGTGAATTTCACTTTAATTTGCTCCGTGTTTCGGTGGTGCCAGGGTGACGGAGCTTGTACATGGATATGGCTCTGAACCCTTGGTTCTATCCTAAACACAACAACAAAATCCGAATTGTTTTCCAAAAAAACTGATGTGTTTCCTTTTTCTCCATTTCGTTGGTGCCGATGTGACGAAGTCTTGCGGCAAAGCTTCGTGCTTCGCATGAAAACAGACATTGATAACTTTCTTGTACGTGTCTCTCTAGGAAAAACACGACACATAACGATCCACAATATTGAAAACCCACGAGATAGTTGGAACTTTTATTTTGTAGTACCAAGCAGTGATAAAATTTTCCAAATATCTTAGCTACTTTATTATTTTGTCCTTTTTTCGCTTGGTACACACAGTGCAAGCTATTCCCTTCCTTCCTGCGTTGTTTCTGGCGCAAACAGAATGTATTTTCGATTTTTCTTCTTGAACCAATTAACTCGAAACAACCAAAAAAGACATTCCTTCCTTGCTTAGAAACATACAGTATTACGTTCGCTGTTATCAAGTCAATTAAACGAGTAACAGGGCATCGTGAGAGCTAACACATGCTGCAAATGACCTAGCATTGTCGGACCAGTGTGTAAGTGTGTAGTTCACGAGCAATGTAACCTTGGGCTGTCATGCTACTAGGACTATACAGCCCTGGACTTCTGCTTCACTGGCTGGATCGTAGTTCTTATGATGTAGAGATTTTACAGTCCGATCCAATTTAAAGAATTCCTTTATAGCAAGACAATATATTTTTATTTTAGCACGCCAAGTTCATGCCAAACATGAAGAAATGATTCACAAAAATTCGAAAGACTAAAATACCATGAGATGCGAGGAAAAGAGGCGTATTGAAACAGGGTTATTAAACAAAAATCCTTGCCAAAAACTTTAATGTTTTTTCAGGTTTATATCTGTAGTACTAGCAATCTTTTTTGAGCCAAAAAATAAATGGCATAAAAATGACAGTGAAGTTAAAAACAAAAACAAAAAGATACCAGAATTTTCTTTACAAGAAAACGAAACTCAATACCAAATGAAATCTAAAAAAGAAAAGACACCAAGTCGAGTACCTGTTTGAGAGAATTCGAAGGAAATTATAAATTAGGTTATTAAAAATTACTACACTTTGTTCATTCCATTGATCCAAAATCTCATTAATCATAGCAAATGTTAGGCTTCGACTTCTTAATTAACTTTACCAGCAATGGCCAAACAGGTCAAAATGAACCCTAGATTGAGATGTTCGCATCCATTTTTCTGTTCCATCTTTTCATTGTTTTAGTAAACATGGGTAGACGACTATTTATAATACCAACTTTTGTACAAAAAAAGTTTACATTATTAGCTGAGAAGGTTGGCAAAATATACAAATATATCYGAGTTACAATGTTGAGAAAAAAGGAACCACCCTTCATAAAGGATACTTTTATTTCTTTAAATATTATGAATACAACACCATGAATGGATATTGTTACTTATTCATTGATTTTAAACAAAGATTGAATACGGGAAAGACAAGTAATTGGAAAAAATACCTGCAAGAAAGATTCAATTGTAGAATTTTGAAATAGATTCTCAAAATATGTCGAAAAAACACTTGCATAAAAAATGTACTTGGAAGAAATAGTAAACGTTGTGTCTAACATGGATAGAGAAATAACTTCAATGCTAAACATCTACTTGCAGGTATGCTTAAAAATTATCTCGAACCCCGAGGATATTAAAAATTCCTTCAAGGAAAATTGTCTCGTAGCTGATCTTAAAAATAGATTTGTTCAGCAAAGCTACAAGAGAAAGGGTTCTTTGATGGCATCATAATCGGCTGATTTTAAGAAATCTTACTCAACAATGTTACAATCTTACTTAACATTTTTGTTAGCTTTATAGTCTTTCTTGTATCTATAAATGACTGGATTTATAAATTATATGTCAGCTATAATGAAGAGAGAGTTTGTGGTGAAGAAAATGAACGAACTCTTGTTTTGGAAGCAGTTTTTCACAAAGGCGTATTGTTTAAAAATAGACATCAATAAATTCTGCAGCCCATATGAATCTATACTGCTTATTTCTAGATGGTCGGTGTTTTTGTGAAAACTAAATTAAACCAAAGGTGCACCAAAGGTTCAGTATCTTGAGCCACATTTTTCATTGCTGACAAAAAAACTCGAACGTAGTAAGATCATGTTGCGCTTTTTCCCCAAACGAGGAGAACACGGCTTTGTTGAGTTCCCTCGAACCGAAGAGGGATGACCAAAAAAGAAAAAAGGATAACCATTGAACGAAATTTTTTCGATGGAAAYACAAAAAGTATATTAGAGAAATATTTGAGAAGAAAGAAATAATCTGTTGAATTCCTGAAAATTAAAAGGAGAATGAAACCATGAAAATAGCAAAGTCAATGAATCGGTACGATTCATTTGACTGCATGAAACTATAAATTCTTTATCGCTATTTAATAAAGGATTTCGTTTCATTTTAGAAAGAGAAAACATCCAATATACAGGAATGGGAATTGAAAAAAATTAGGTTGTTTTTTGTGAGAGTAATCTCTTTTATCCCATTTGTGGAAACATTAACACAGCAAGGCATTCATTTAAGCATCATTAGCAGTATCCCATTCTAAGGTATTAACAATACCTAACGAGACTATCGGCGATTCTACGTTTCGTTTAACTTTATTAGGATATAAATTTGCGAAGGGAAAAGATTAAAATAAAAGGAAATCCATAATTTTTACTTAATCTAACTAACACTGAAACTAAATGTACTTTCTGCGAAAGGAAATATATTATTGACCAATTTTAATGTAGAAGAATTAAAGGTATTTTTCGGGGAGATCTTCTTTTGGAATGATTATTGTTGTTGTATAAAGTTGTTGYTTTTTTTCTTTTTTCTTTCTTTCTTTTTCTTCATGCATATACGAGTTATGCTATTCTCGTTTGAGCGAAGCTCCAATTCATTCGTAGATTTGCAGCCAAAGTTTCTAAACACGATGGTGGCTTCTTAAATGCTATAAAAGTTGGCAACTCAAAAACGTAAAGCTACAAGGCCGAAGAAAAACGATACATACGTCGCATTGAATGTGGATTTTATGAAGCTTTGTTACATGGAACCGTTTACGAACAGGAAAATCTAATTTACAATACAGTGACAAAACAGAGACAGAAAATAATCGAATTGAGTACAGCTTAGACAAGAATTTGGCAGAGACGAATAAAATGGTAGTCAATTTGATATGAGAAATGATGATAGTTTCATACCCGGCAGAGTGGTGTATAAAAAGTACACAACTTGGTTATTCGGCTTTTCATATGCTGATTGGCAAAGGCAACAAAAAAGTCATTTTACTTGAAAAAGTAATAAAGAAAGTCGAGTCTGTCTTTTTAGTTTTCGAATATTGTCATGTTTTTAAGGGGTTTTTTAATGTAGGTACTAGTCGATGCAAACAGTAGGGGCACTCGTCAGATATTAATATTCTATTTGAAGAAGAAAAAAATGATTACAAATGATCCTTCTTGTCACTAAAACATGACAGACCTGCGTCCTCATTTGATTCAATTGCCATAAGATCTGCCTTCTGTCCTGACAGGCTTGCTTTCTCTTGTCAATTTGTGGTGCAATCTCACCACGCATCTTCGCACAGCAAAAATATGTAATTWCAGGTCCTAAATTAAAAAAGTACCCAGATGTTAGTCAAACTGTATAGGCACACGCCCAAACCGCATCGAACGACAAAACTTAACATCAAGCATACATTTTCTCGATAGGTGATACCTTAAAAAACAACCCAGTTTGGCCACATTATGGCAACGAAAGCAATTACTACGATAGTTAGATTTACCTCAATAACAGGTGTCTAGAGAAGTGGTGTTTCCCAGTCCATATCTCATTGCCTTCATCATTGACGAGTTTTAATAATTTCAGTGCCGTACATGCTTGATCGGTAATAACAAAGAAGAACCTGTTTTCAAGACCTGTAAAAAGTGGTGCTTTGATACAATGGAACAAATTAAAGAACAAAGTCTGTTTGCTTCATCCATTGCTTGTCAGACTGAAAAATCCAGGTCTTTCTCGGATTTTTGTATCCCTCATTATCTGGTTTGATAAACGACCATACTCGATGACACTGAAAGAGGCGACTTATTTGCGGTTATATCGAGGGCATTGTTTCCAACATGCTCCCTGTCCTATCTTCACTTATGTCGTTCTGTCCTACGTCCATTATTTGCTCAGGTTGTCCTTCTCTTGTTCTAAAGAAAAGAACACACAAACGGGACGCATTAGCATTTTTTATGACACCTTTTTTCTTCTAATGAATTTCAAGTCAAGTGCTTTTAGTATTTTTTGTCATCTCTTCTTATTTCAAAGCTTTTTCTGTCTTCATGAAAACACTATCGCGTGTGCGATATCTGAATTAACAATTCTCACCTAAATTCAATCTTTCATTCCCCTATTCTTTAACTTCGGATTTCGTGATTATCTGTATACATAAGAGAAAAAATCGGTTATTTTGAAGTCGAGGAATATTGCGACCGGCGTGAGTCTTAAACAAAAAAAAMAACTATCAAAATACTTTGACAACTTGGTTAAAAAAAGCGAAGTACCTCTGAAGAAGCCTAGAATTTAATCCTATAAATCTTTTCCTTAGAGCAACACTTGCTATAGGAGATTAGACATTTTCCCTTGTTATACTCTAACAGCTTAAAAGAATACATATCAATTGAGTGCTGAAACTTTGAACCGTGGAAGTAAATAAAATCAAGATACTTCTTATATTTTTAGGCGATGGTTAATATTAATGAAAGCATTCCCATAAATAAAGATCACAACTTTAATTTATCTTTCTCCTCTTTTTTTAGAGCTCAGAATCTCAAAAAAGGGACAAATGTCTTATTGAAAAGAGCAAGTTTGTTTTGTAGGATTGTAAGGAGACTGAAAGACTAAGTTATTTCGTATAATCCTTTTGTATTCTTTGTTCTATTGCAAGGAATTACACTGATGGTGGACTCTGCACTTAAAATAGCTGGGATAAAGAGCCATTACTCTGAGCTTTATTTGGTAGATTCAAGTAGGTTTCTTCTCTTATGCTTTTAGATGAAATTCCAAAAAGAGGATTATTATCTGCTACAAACAACTACATTTGGTTTTACAGTAACTAATATAGATTTTAAAAGCGGGTTTTTTTTTTAAATCAAAGACAAAAAAATTGGACGTCAAGACATTTCAGACACGAACACTAAGCAAATTTTACAACTACAGTAAACTGAAGAAAATGAATAAGAAAGTGTGATTTCATTCACAACACACTCTATTTATATCTTACTGTGTGCTTTTGAGAACAAGGGTTCATTTTGTAAACTATATATAATATATAAATGGAATCTAAAAGTGTTGAGAAATTGAAAAAAAATTTGTACTGCAAAAAATTAGATATAAGGCTAAGATCATTGAAATAACAGTGAAATCAAAAGGATAGCTTTTCTTAGTCTTAAATTTTAATTCCTTCAAAAATATCGTGGAAATATTAAATAATCTCTAGGTTTTATGTAAGTGAAAAATAAATGAAAAATAAGGCAAGATGAAGAGAGCTTGTTTATCGTGTACTGTTTAGATAATGTTGGATTTAGGTTGATTTGACAAAGTTTCCTCTTGACAAGCTCTTGATACCCAAAGGACAATCGATCAAACTATCGGAAAGGATTCGTCTATTCAGCTTTTGGTTTATCGCATTAAGAAAAGATATCTAGGATACAAAACAAGCCAGAAATTACGACAGACCTGAGAAATTGACTTTTTTACTTCCAAATCAAGTCTTGCCTAGGGCTATTTCTACTTTAACCTACGATTACGCTCCAACAAAAGAGTAATAATCCACAAAAGGGAATACCTGAACTCACTGTGCGGCATATCTGGCCAAAAAGAGAATAAATCTAATTTTAAAATAAAAAATGCACAAAAAACTTCAAGGTAACAAAATACCGCCTTCATTCCTCTTGTAATGTAATTATATTTTTATTCCTGAGTTACCAGAAAATGTTTGTTTCAAAACGGAAACTCAAAATTGCTGGATTCGTTCTTCTTGGAAGACAAAGTCCACTTTCATCGCTGTTATTTGCAACGAAAATTGTTCCTTAAAGTTTTTCAACCTGTTTTGCTTTCAGAAGAAGATTCTAGTTCAAGTAGGCCAACAGAGAAAGCTTTAGTTCCCACTAATCAACTGCTATACCCAGTTCAATGTGTACATTCGAGTGCCTTGACCTCAAATTATCGTTATGTTCTTCAACTTCTTCACGTAATAATTTTTGATATAACCAAGAAAATTAGCTGTACTTTCAGCGAGTCATTCGATACTCACACTTTTAAAGATAAAGTCAAACAAAAGGCCCACGAGTATTCCTGAAAAAGATGGGTCAAAATTCAGCCACAAGCCATCCTTCTTAATTACTATCAGTCTCAACAAAAATTGTTTTTGATGCTTTGGAAGACTATATCAACTCTTTTTAGAGAAACAAAGTATGAGGTTACAATTCAAGGTATTTTCCATCCCAAAGGGTTATAGAAATACAAAGAATTTATTTCCAACTTGACGCGACAGTAAGCTCTGCCATTCTTTCAAACCGCTTTCCTTTCATGACAAATAAAGTTGGTCAAAAGCTAGCTCGTTTCTTTTTGTACGGTGTTTTTTTGTTTGTTTKTTTTTTTGTTTACTAGTATGAGAAAGACATACTGCTCAAATGAACTTACTCATAGGTGTACGAGATGTAGAGTAGGTTAATAAGGGATAGACAGCCAGGGAGGCATATATACACTGTTTATACACTGATGCCAATTTCGGTTCATTATGACTAGTTCTTGGAGGTACTCAAAAAGATAACAAGTAGTAACAAAAGCCTTCATTCAAGAACAAAATGTAATGAAAGGAAACGAACAAACCCCTACAAGTGCCGTGGAATTAACTTTTACTTTCATTTTAAATCTGATTTTTTTTTCCTTTCTGCGCAAAATAACACTTGACAAGAAAGCATGAAGTAGTTAGCACAACATTGTTACGACAAGAGGTCTTGACTTCCAAGCATAACACGCTGATAAATAAAGGAACTGATGTACTTAGAATGTCTTTTAGTTTAGTTTAGGGTCACGCACTAAGAGTTCATAAACAGAGAGATAGCAAAGCTTCGATAACACAAGACTACTAGATCAAGAGCATCAGATAAACCCCATCTCGTTCGTTCATCGCTGTCTTCTTAAGAAAGGGAGGCACTTGTTTGGGCCTCAAACGTATATTGGCGCGCAAGCCAAGGATGTTCTAGACCAACATTTGCCGAAAAAAACTATTGTGTCCTTTCATAACAATCAAACGATTTAACACCTTCCCGAGGTCTAGAACAATCGCACTCTTAGGAAGTTTTTGAAATAATATTTAAACGTTATAAGTATTAATAGAACCAAGTGCCTTCGTTGTCATACTTTCAATCGATTATACATAATGAAAGTTTTCAGAATGGATAATGAAAGTCAAGCTTATCTTGGGCTGTAATCGCAATAAAGTGGAATAATTGCTTCTTTCATAAAAGGCGGGTCATTCATCCTCGAATCTCATCTTTAGGAAGCAGATTGTATGCTTAGACCATATTGAGTGCTTGTAATCATATGACTGTGAAGTTTGTTGTTCCTTTGGACTTGTACAAAAAATTCTCTGGTTTAATACAAAAAATGTACATGCAAAATGCAAAGATAAGACCACAAACTAAGCAAACGAAACCAGCAAATTATAAAACAAAATAAATGGTTATTGTTCTTGGAGATAAACGCTTTCAGTCTGTTGTATTGCCATTTTATTTTGTTGTGGTCGCGATTGGGTTGAGATAAAGAAAGAATGATGAGCTGAATTATTTGAGGCCGCCTTTATTTTCACTTTTTTTTTAAATTCTTTTGTAATGTTTTCAATCTTAATTAATCGATTCGTACAAGCACCATTCTGTGTTGCACTTTACAGAAAAAACACAAATTACTCAAAGGTAAACAGTACGCTTCAGTCAAACATTATAGCTGACTAAACAAGATCTAATTCAGGAAAAGATGAGCTGAACAATCAAACAATGGCGTGTTTTGAAATGTACGGTTCCAGGTCACGACTAAGCCAAGAAAAACTATAAACATTTTGACCGCAGAAAAGAACGAAAGAGCTGCGTAATTTTCCATTTCGAAAGCATCATTTCATTCAGCTTTCTGTACTACAATTCCTATTCAAATAAATACGACCAACACAAATCCAAGTGTCAAATACAAACATAGACATAAACTCCTCCATCCACGTTTACCCAGACTGAAAAAAAAAGGAATTGCATATTTGAGCTCACTGTGGAAGTGTCTTAATCTTTGTGATCATTTCAGGAAGTTTCTCTTTTTTATAGAGCAAAGTGATTAATGATCGATGGTTTCATGATAGTTGTCTTACTATATAGTCCCCTAGTGGCGTTCAAAGTACTGTTTTCTTTTTCACTTGTGCCTAAAATCAATTGGATCATCACTGAGCCACTGCCACCCGAGATAGATGAGGTCTTAGCATTTTGATTACACTAAGTCTGCTGAATTTACATTAGAAATTACTTGGTCATACTAAAAGAACTTTGCAAAGCGGGGATTGTGTACAATAGATAGATCCTTAAAGCTACCCTAGTGCCCTTTGATAAAGAAATCCACAGAAAAGACTGCTGCTCTATTCAAAGAGAGATACTTCGTCGTGGACCTCTGCCACGATATACCCCTTTTGAAAATTCGAGGGAAAAATTATTCTAAAACATGTAATCATTTAGAGTATGGAATTTCTTTCTTTAAGAGTAGTTAGTTAAAATCTTTGGCTAACAGGATAGCATTTCCCCTGAGGCGTCCAATCGCCTAAGTGGAGATGACCAGTTAGCCATAGTTAATTTACACGGTTTTTTAGTCAGGTCTATCGCGTCTACACAACACAGTACCGCGCATGAGCCCCCGGCAGCAACAACACACACCACACCTCCAGTATCTACACTAAGCTCAATGTCCCTTTTCCCAGAAATTCAGGAGTTGCAGTACCATACTCTCTGTTCCCTACAATCTGATGAAAGGGGGGTAAGTTTGCTGCAGTGTATGTTAAAAACACGGTTATAGTGTTCCATAATGCGTGAGCGCGCCATAAATTTCGCATATCATACTCTACGTATCAGACAGAGAACTGAGTCGACAAAGCTCTTTCGACATTCGTCGATTTCTGTTTTGAATCTTGCTCGCAGCTTTCAAGGATTAACCTGCGCTTAGCTGACGATTTTTCAAACCGTTTGGAAGCCATCAGCCGTTTTGCAGCGCTAACATAAACTAATCATTCTGCACGTCTTCAGTGGAATAACATTAAGGTATTCTAAACCTCAGATGACCCGGGTTCATCTTCGCCGTAAATTGGATCTCCGTGATATAGTGCGTGCGACATGTAATTTAGAGCTCGGTACAGGCGCTTATGAAGTCTTTAAAAATTCGTTTATCTATCTTGTGTGTTTCTAAGCTTAAACTGTAGAAAGCGGCTTGTCTAGATTTTGATGTGAATGCCACATGTGCTTGTGAAGGAATGTTTTTTTTTTAAACTCTAGACGATCATTCTGATCGGATGGAGATGTTTATCCGCCGACAAACAAAACGATAAGAAACAGAAATGGTTTCCAAAATATTATGAAAAGAAATGGATTTGCCCAAGTTGAATTCTGCATTTCTTTAAAAGTGTGCTAAAGCGGCAGCGCGTGGCTACATTTCATGGAACCACTTTAAAAATGAAGGTTTAAAGCGATTATCGATCAGCGAAAACATCTCTGGTTTGATGAGATGAGGAAGTCTTCAGACTATTTCCGAAGAACCGCATCTTTAAAGCCATTACTTTTTTTTTGTCGTACTCCTAACAAATTCGGGAAATATCTCAATAGGTACCTCGTCATTTCTCTGCATGTAAGGATTCTGGAAATCCGACTTCGATTTAACAAATTGTTCTACAACTCCAGAAAATTGCTTTCCAAGATTTTCCTTACCGATTAAAACTGTGGTTGTGAATGAATGCATTGAGGACGATCTTCTTCTTAGTCGAGTTAAAGTCTTGGATTTTATCAAAAGAGTTGTGAATATGTTTACCAAACAAAGTGGTGCCCTCGAACGGATTAACAGGCTCACCACAACAAATTTGAATTTACCTTTTGTCTTTCATCCTCCAGTCTTGCTTCTCGATCTCGAAGGAACTGCCGGCTCGGTAAGATTTCTCTCACGGTGTTTCTAATTCGAACGCTACTGAAGCGAGTTCAGGACCGGGGAGAAGTGAATCGTATGCCTCAAAAACGTGGAAGGGGATTGAGAAACAAAGCAAAGCAACGCGGTGCTTTAGGTATGTTAAATTTGTTTTTTCTTGAGCCAAACCGTCTCGCGCGAATTCAATTTCTGACAGACATTAAACGACGTTTTGGACAGGTTGCTTTTTGAAGGGGATCATCCCCTCACTATCAAATAACCGCGTGATGCTTCTGATAGTTACGATAGACTGTGGTACTTCAAAAGGGAAAAGAAATATGCAGAAAATATCAAGGAAATGGATGAAAATGTAAAGAATCAAAAGTGCTTCGGCGTAGTTGTCGAAATACTGTTTGCACAGGTACAAAACTGCAATACACTGACACGCGGTGGTCGACAATGGAGCGAATACTAACGCCCTCCCTAAACCGGTCAAGTGTATTGTACCTAAAGTGAAACATGCTGAACCCTTTGGAAATCGTCTCAGGCCTTAATGGTCTTCGCGAAGACCACAGCTTTAGCTTTCGCAACATCGCCTGACTGAATATTTATTTACAGCCTTGGGTAAACAAAGATGAAGCTGCACGATGTTCGCTTTTCATTTCCTTCAATTCTTAAACGGCCTTTTTGAACTTATTGGCCCCTATTTATCTTTTTCGTGTTTAGACGGTTTATTCTCACGTTATGGAGATCATTGTGTTAGTTTAATCCGTATGAAATATAATTGTCATAACATATAATTTTGATCCTTTTCGGAGTGAATCAATTCGCTTCTTCAGACGTCCTGGTTTAGTTGTCGCTCGCTTCCTCTCTTGCTCGGACTCAAACAGGGACAAGAGAAGTTTCCTTTCCTAGCCTCGTAAGGCCTCTAGGTTGCTTAGAGTTCTTCCTTTTCAAACTAACACATTAGAAGGCATAGTGTTATCATTTTGATTAGTTTTCAAATAACTTGTTTTGTGTAGATCGAAGTAATATACAGTAAACAGGAAAGCTCTATACGAGCAAAATTTGAAAAGAAACTTCCTGATGCGTTCTATTAAGAGAGCAAGTACACCCAGATAGATTATTTTCTGTCAAATATATTTGCTATAGAAAATCTGTAATATGAGTCGTAAATGCGTAACTATAGCTAGTATCAAGAGCACGAATTATTTTGGTCATATTTTAGGAATACGCGATTATTTATCACAACCTGTACCGAGCTTTGGCTATGGCAACTGTGTTTCTTACAGCTGCTTAAAGTAGAGGATATATAAAAAAATACTTCAGAATTCAAAACAGAACAGTAATTCCGTTTTGTTAAAACTTAAGGCTTATTCAAAACATCTATCAAAACGAATAATATTTAGCAAATAAGAAAGAAAAACTTTCTTGTAGAGTTGCGAAACAAGTGGAGGTCAATTTAACCATACTAAAAGGTGGCAGGAAATATATATATAAAAGATATAAATATAAATTTAAATAAATATATACCTTTTAAATATTTTCACACACTATATAAAAGTAAAGTATTTAAGCTTCAGTTTAATTTTTTTCTGTCCTTTAGTTTTGTAAACGAATATAAATAGAGTGGTTGTTTAGGTGCATGTTCTAGGTTGGAGCAAAAGTTAACAAACAATAGCCTGAATCAACACAAATTCTTTGGATTGGATAAATTAAAATTCAACATTCTAAACATTGTTTTTAACTGATACAGGAGTCTTTTGCTATGACCCTTTCTCATTTGCTAATCTTCTTCACAACATAAACGGAGTTGAAAGAGATTGCTGACCCTTTCAACACCGGTAGCAGCTCGCTTCTTTGACGACCGGCCACAGAACAAAATACAAAGATGATATAAACATTAGAGCAAGCTAGCTAGACCATTAGAAAAAAGAGTGAATGCAAATCAACCACAAGGTTGATCACATGAAGGGTCTTTAGTCTTTATCGGGGTAGCAATCTTTTCTGCTTCAATAGCGTCGTTTCTATCCCACAACATGGTACTTCAGGTTTGGCACAACCAAATTACCCTTTCTTGACCCGGACATCTTTCTATGAAACCATGAACACCACGTTTTTTGTTCCAACTGCAATGCGGTTGTTTATCGATCTATTCAGGTCTTTTTTTGTTCATTTTGCCGAACATCAGACCGATAGAAAACGCCAAGAGAAAGAGGCGTAGACTAGACGGCGTTAAAATCCAAGTAACACACTGTTAACTCTTGAATCTAATTTCATGACATAGAAGCCACTTGTGAGCTTAGCAAAAGCAGAAATGCTCTTTTTCCTCCCCAAAATTCGTTGATAGTTGCACCAAAACCCCTCACGATATGTCCCTGTTGGCATCGCATGTCTCGGTGAGGATGAGAATGCCTGAGGAGACTGTTGGTAGTTTTTTTTGGTGTTGTAAATGGAGGGTAAACTGACACGAAGCATTATATACAAAAGCTGGAGGTGACTCCAAACTGTCTGCCAGAATTTAAGCCTTCATTAGTGATTAGGAAGAAGTGTTTTCTTGAAAGCTGTTTGAGGAATAAGCTAGCGAGGCGGATACAAGCAAATACTTGGAGATGGAATTGTGAGGTGTACCACATGAATTTGAGTCCTTCTTCCATTGTAAAATAATCAAAGCGTTGATTGAGATAATCCTTTCTAGCTCCTGCCTAGCAATTCCAAAATGCTATGCTAACGCATTTGCGAGTGATTCAAACTCACTGTCCCCTGATTTCGGAGCTTAGAAGTACTTTCTCAAGAATCTATTCCTCTTAAACCGAGTTATTTCTCAAGTGGTTTTATTTTTAGCAACGGAGAAATGCACAGATCGTGTGAATACAGCCACGAATCGAACACCCGTGCTTGTAATCCGAAACCATCGAGTTTGCGAAGTCAGCGTCTGCATGTCTAACTTCAGCACTCGTGTGTACTTGGCTTTGGATATCAGTTTTCCGAAAGCATCGCGTCAGCTTCAAAGCTTTGAAACATAGACAAAAATAAACCAAGGGCATCCAAGAAAACAAACTCGAAAGTAACTTTAAGCAGTGAAAAAGATCGGGTCACCTGGCTTCATTTTACGGTCTCTGGTAAGTGCCACGTTGACTTCAGTTTTTTTTGTCTTCCCGCTCTTTTGCCGGTTATGTCATATTTGGAAGCCTGTTTATTCCTTCAAGCTCTGTAGAATGGTTTAGACTTACAATTGGAAGTCTAGAACACTGAAATGAGTTGATTTGAATTGACAGTCCGCGTGACGGACCCACTGTTAGCGGGAAATAGCGAAACCAGTGTAACATACAGCAGCAGGCCATGTTTCCCTTCTTAGATTTTGAGAACAAGGAACTATAAAGTATTATACGTTATAAGTAAACAATATTTTACCGCTATTGCCCAAGTCCTTCCCATTTTGGCTAGCTGTGGAAATAAGGCTTAAGATTATCTTGAACAAACTTCTGCATGTCCCAGAAATGGGGTATTTATCGATAAACAAACTGAAGTAATTTACATGGACACAGAAACTTCAAAGGAGCGCATGTTTGTAAAGGACTGAAGCTTGTTAGTGCGTCGTCATTGTCGTTGTTAATCTATTTTTTCACGTAACAGTGAGAATTAAACGCGTGTTCATGTTTCTTCTAATTTGATATATCTTCATAAAACGGTTTAATACTGGTTTTGTTGTCGGTAGTAGCCGCACAGAATGTGATCGAAGGAATTCGTAAACTGAACCGCTCACGTCCGCGGCAATCGCTTCCAAATGTTTGTAAGTCAACTAAACACGAGTAGTATAAAATAAACCCAGTATCAGCTAAATCTGTGTTGAAAGTTTGAAGAAATTCAGAAGAGGCATCATACCGTAGAAACAGTCATCCTGATGCTGATCCCGAGTGACCTTCAAATGATGACCATTAGAAACTAAATACTCAGTGACCTTTTGTCACAGCTACGGTTTTTCAAGACTTCTCCCTCTACCTAGCACCGCCATCATTTTTATCCATTTTGAGACACATTATTGAAACCATTAAATCTCACCATGTATTTAGGTAGTGCCAATCTTCTTTGACCCTAAGGCCTTGCTTTAGGCATAGATTTCTAAGGCTTACTTCCCCTCTAAAACGTTGAAATTCTTTGTCCAACCTAAATTCGTATTCAAATTCCATAGTGACTATCTCTTTTGTTGCTTGCGAATTCCTGAAAATCCATGAGCAAATTTTAAGGTAATTTTTCACTTCCTGGCGTGGTGATTTACTTTTGATCCACCTTCGAACTTCTCTTCCTTGTACAACGTTCAACGGATGCGATCTGTTTCAAGAAACATTTCTGAAACCCCGCGCTGCGAGGGATAGTTCTCTTTCCGTGCCTGGTTCGTTCTGATAATATGATACCTCGGGAAGTTGAATAAAATAGCGAAGTAGCTTACACATAAAGGCCTAAGAATGACTGGCGGTTTGACATACAGTCGTGTTATAATGACAGATTTTTATTGTAAAATCTTTAGAGTGACTACTCTTATTATGATATATATACAAACTTTTGAAGGCATCTTGAGTGTGTGTGAATGAATGTCGGTCGTGGATTTACAGAATATAAATGACAAATATAACTGGTTTTGCATGTCTCTTTGATTCAAGTGTAATATTGCAAACTAATCAAGGTCTTTCTTTCTCTCTCAAATTCATAAATCGTGCTGTGGCAGATTCAAATTAATTCTACCTAAACTCTAGCCTCTTCAAAGAGAAATATTGTTTATCAGCGCTCCTGAGACAGCATGAGGCGTCATCCTCTCAGGCTATAGGATACACGCAGTTCTTTGACAAATAGAATCACTGTATTATACACACACGGTCTTAAAAAGAGCAATATTCCAAAGAATCCTGTCAGAGACAAAAATTAGGACATGATTTTCAATTTGTAGAAAAATCTTTTTGGTAATGAATACCGTTGAGAGGTAGTACTGAGAGGGAAATACCCTCACTGAAGTTGACTCACTGCCCCAAATGTAAGCAAGAGATGTGCCAGTATGTTCTGTTTAAAATCTGTCTTTTTGATAAGTGTATCAAGGTGTATGTTATACTTGTTGACCCCACATCAACCTCAGACTAAAAACACTATAGATCAATACTCGTTTCAATTAGAAAACAGAATGACAATCAGTGAACCTCCATGTATTAGATAGGACCTCTATGAATCAGTCTCTAGGAAACATGTGACAAATATGTGGTTTTGTTTTACTTTTCTATGGCAAATAAAAGGAAACTCTCTTTGTGTGTTATCATAAACTTATGTGGTTTTGGTCAGGAATTAAAGTAAACCTCAATACACCACTCTCTGAATTTTTTCACTAGTTTAGCAGTACTTTCTCGGTGGCCGCTGTATTTCGTCTCTATAATGGTTTTTAAATTACAATCATATGGTTAAYGAGTACATTGGTCGACTCTGATAGCCGTAAAGACCTCATTAGGCTTGGCAGCTTTGCTGAAAGTTCCCTCAAAAACCGACAGTTCTTTGATTAATGCTGAAATATTCGCCGTCGTGTACCTGACAATCTTCGAGAGTTTACGTTCACCACCTCGCTCGCCGTTTATTTTACATGTGATCGTGATAGGTCAGAACTGATTGAGTTTCGTATCTATTTTGAAATATTAAGAGAAGAGGAACAAAATACTCTTCAGTGATAATGTGGTACTCGAAAAATAGCAAGATTTGATCATCGAAATATCGCGCGCCCACGTTTCGTACAAAGCCATTCAAATAATTTTGTCATGCCGTTTAACTCCGTAGATTTTACCGCTTCAGGGAACAGACCACCTGGGGTAGAAATCCTAGAGAAATAAAACTGTTTTTATTGTGTCTGTCAAGTTATTTTTGTTCGTATTATTTTGGTGACTGGAAATTCCTATTGTGATCATGCCGATGATGAATAATGTTGATCGTGTTTAAAGTGACCCGATCATCAGCCTTCATAAAACGCATTCTCTGTTTGACATTCGTTTCTGCAAGTGTCCGGTTTCAAGAGTGGTTTATTGTTTTGCGCGTGCGATCGTTTGGTGAAAGGCAAGCTAGCGACAAATCTGTAGGCATCACCTAAACTACTTGATTCTTTTGAAGTGCTAGGGGTAATTTCACGGACGTATTCGACCATTAAAAGCTTGTGGAAAGCCGTTTTGGAGAGCACTGGTTATAGCTATCGAAAACAGATGAGCCTAAAACCATGACGCGAACTAAAACATTGATCATTACACTGCGTACACGAAACATGAAACTAAAAAAAAAAAWTTTTTTATTTGGTATCTAGAGTTTTCCGCTGCCTTTATGTTACAGTAAAGGGCCTCAGTAATTCCTCTTGTAAACGCTACACTGGTTTTGACAAGTGTAGCGTTTAGTGAAGTTTTTAAGATGTTGTGAGTTGGATGTGTTGTTTTAAACTAAGTGTCGTTCATCTCCGCCCATACTGTCAGCCTCTGACAAAAGGCGTCATATCTTTGCTCTATCGAGTAGACAGGAACATTGATAAGGAAATACAATCCATCAAAGCTACTCGTGTACGACGATCATTTTAATAACACGGATCACAGCTTCGGGAAAGAGAGAAAAATAGACTTCTCACGGTGAACTCTTGGAACCAAATTGAAAGCCCTATTAATTTTTTTGTAGAAATCAGCTGTGTTTGGATTTTTAACCTGGTTTATTGAAGTTCTTTTTTGTTGTTTTGGAAAAAGCTTTACCGAAGTAGAAACATTTCAAAGCCAATTATCAGCAGGTGTTAGTCAAATGTCAATCAAAACCCACAAAAGAGTTTCCCTTCATCTCATACCTGGCCAGACGACATCTACTACCAGCATCGCATAAAAAATAAAAGCGGAAAAAATCGTGAATGAYTGCGGTATTTTCCCTTCAGGAAAATTGCACCTATGGTTGTAGCTGTCTTTTCTGATAATGCACGTTTCCGGGTTAACTTTCCTTCAATAATTTCAAAATTGATCTAGATTACGTTGTTGTTAGTTTTCAATGGAATGACACGCCCCAAAGACTATGTAAAGATTTGTGATAGGTAAGACAATGGAGATAGAAGTGTTTAGACATATTATTTAGGTTCACTGGCTTCTCGCATTGTGATTGGTTGATCAATCTAATTGGTCCCACCACGTATTATTAAGAAGTGGCTCGGGTTTATGATAATGTTAAGGAGAATTATTCCAAATGTGACTTCACTGCCACGTTTTCACGTATATTGTGCCTCTCTAGGCTATCAAATAAGAGTCTAAATCACCTCTTTAGTATCAATTAGTAGTAAAGCGTGCAGCGTTATGACGAAAATTCTACTCGGAGTTTAAAACTGAAATTTAATGAAGGATGACCGAGTGATGAAAAGAGTGTTTCTCATAAGGTTGTTTTGACATGGGTCTATGGAAATCGTGAATGATGATTGACATATCAGTGGGCAAGAGCCACGAGACAAGCTTGACAATCCGTTACGGGTTGTGTTGACGGGAAAACACATCTTTCTTCTGCAAGTTGACGTATTGTAAGTTTAGAAAGCTATCCAACTGAGTTAGCCCTAAACTGACTGTCAAAATTCAAGATTAAACATCGAATGTAATTTTTCGATAACAGCTCTGCGACGGGAGATTAAGGGTATACAGAGAAGGCCAAGTCTCTCGGCCAAAGTATATGGCTATAGAGCGGGTCAGTAGAAAAAAACTCGCAACTTCCTCCGCCTTGAAGACTTGTCGTGTATGTGCGCATAATATTTCTTTGATTATCTATGATCGCGCTGTGCAAATTTCAGGTATCATCAGCATAATGTCGTGATTAATCTAATGGAATGGCTTCTCTTGCAGCCGCCGTATGATGAAGTGGGAGTTTATACGATGGATGGCGCCTCGACAATGTATGGCTCCATGCAGCAGCATATGAACCACACGAGCGTCAGCACTGCATACCACCATCCTGTCTCTGCTGCTACGTCGGTGATGAGCACTGTTTCTGATCTACATAAGAGAGATAAGGAAATTTTGTATGGGTATGTGAAAGACTCTCAATTTGATTGTTATGCTCACAAATCACTCTCCCGCCGACTTGTGACTCATTTTGGAAATTAGTACCGATAAACATCAACTGAGCAGTGGGCTCGCGTTGTGATCATATTAACTGGTTAATTCAAGATTGTTTTGTTGTGATATCCTTGTTTAGATCTGTTAATTCGTAAATCATCCTAGGTGCAAACACTAGATCCAGTGTAACAGATAGGTCCTTTGAATCCATTCATCCTAATAACAGTAAATTAGTGGGGTATTCAACGGTGATTATAACTTTCACAGCCATCCCTTGTTTCCACTGCTCGCTCTAATCTTCGAGAAATGTGAGCTGGCGACGTGCACTCCAAGAGAACCTGGCGCTATTGGAGGCGATGTTTGCTCCTCAGCATCTTTCAATGAAGACATTCAAGCTTTCGCCAAACAGGTAAAATAATAGTAAACTTCGACAAGGCTATTTTTAACACACGTTTAAAGACTATAATGTATCTGTTATTCTGACATAATCGGGCAACTTAATGTAATGAGACGGATACGAAGTCTATTGGCAAAATACGAAACACTATTACAAAATCATTTGGACGTTTTGTTTTTTGTTTGGTTATAGTTTAAGAGCGATAAGGCCATCTTCTCTTCCAACCACGAAGTTGACAGCCTGGTAGGTATCAATGGAGTTTTTCTAACCAAAAGATTTCATTGTATTTCTGTCTGCGTTAAAATATTAATATGAACAACCGGCTTGATTGCATTTAAATAACACCAAGATATTGCCACATGCTTGGTTGATTTTTATATCTTGATTTGGACATGCTGTGAAGCAAGTTCTTTAACGCCAACTGCGGCCAGTATTTTGAAACTATGGTTCCCTCATCGTGGTTAGTTGTTATCGCGTGTTCTAAAATAACCCGTACTTCTTTAATCACAGATGATACAAGCAATACAAGTTCTTAGATTTCACTTACTGGAGTTAGAGAAGGTCTGTATCGATATTCAACTTAAACTTTACTTATAATATTTAATTTAGCTTCAATTAAATTCTTATAAATTTGTTTTCGTAAACGCACGTTTAACTAGCCACAAGTCTCTATGGGGGCAAAGTACCAGAATCGATGGATCATCAATGAACTTTAAATAATTTTAACTTTTACTGACTCTGTGCCAAAGACACTTTAAGATGTGTATATAGCCAAGATCTTCCAGACATTTTCAGACTATCATTTGCATAATGCATAAATTACGCTTATCTTATGATAGAAATTTAATCTCTTCTTGTCAGTTGTCTTATACGTTGGATTTCTAAGGTATTTCTAAGCGTTAATACAACAGTAAAGTAAAACGTTAAAGTCATTAAGGATAACATTTTCCTACTCTACTCTTGTTTTCTAGGTGCACGAGCTGTGCGACAATTTTTGTAAACGCTACATAAGTTGTCTAAAGGGTAAAATGCCCATAGACCTTGTCATGGACGAGAAAGAAAACGGAGGGAAAAGCAAAAGTGATGGCGAACTCGGACCCGACTCTCCCACAGACGATTCTCAGGTACCAATCAACCAGTAGTTGAAATCAGTGAAGCCTACGTACAAACCTTGCCACGCGAGCGTTTGATATATTTTTTTCTTTTCCGATACCAGTGACTGTTTCACTTTAACCAGACTACTTCTACCGCGATTACAAGCTTGTTTTATACCATCAAATTATCTCTTCTAAGTGGATGAAGGCTATTAGACGAGTGATAACCATTCCCCTGGCTCTTAATCAAAGGGGGTTTAGGAACCCCCCAATTTGTCTTACCATCGATCATCAGTATTTACGAAACATCCCGTCGAGATGTTTTGAAAAATGTTTAGAGCATGCTGGGACTTTTTCTTCAGGCACTACCAAGTTATATGGCTTAGTCCACTGAAGTACTAAATCGATATGAATACCGTCAGTATTCGACACTTATCAGGCGTTCTATTTTGTCAAGTATATTTATTACGGTTTCGACAGCAATTGCGACGTATTGACGTGTTGAAAAAAAAACTGAAGCTTCTCTCGTGCCCTTAGAACTTGATAATTTATCTAAGATCAAATTTAGACACTCTCTTCTGCCTGACAATAAATACTTAGGTTGAACCGAAGTAGCTGTCTTCGGTGTGGTTTGGTGAAATAGACCTGTCGGATTTAGTCCAATCCATGATTGCGAAACCAAATAATTTTTTGACCAGTGTAGTATACTTTTAAACCCAACGTCTTTTTGAACCCAACGTTCACCCCGGTCCGGTTTCTTTAGAAAATGTAAATTTATTTTAAGGTGTCGTTTTATCGGGATTGTGTACAATTAAGGTTGATTATGGTTAGACAGCGTTCCCTCCACCTCCTAGCTTTAAGCATTGACAAAAATTAGGTTATATGTCGTTGTCTACACCTTGGCTTTGCTTTTCTCATTCACGGGCTGTCAGAGTATTGAAAGGGGATTCAATTGTTAGCCAGTGTTGGTGTAATAATACGCTTCATTCACGCGATTATTAATTGATGGTTTTATTCTTCTCTTAAACACAGTCAACCGGTACTCCTTCATGGCAGGCAAGTTTYGGTTTGGATAACCAAAACTTGGGGCAAAATTCTCAACCTTCTTCCCAAACGCCTTCAGATCCCGGGGCCGATTGTCCGGTAACACCGGAAGGTAGGGGGAATAAAACTTACTCTTTCTTATTAAAATCGACAGTTTGATCATTTCTTTATTAAATTGTTTCCGTATTCGATGTCTTTTTAATAATGTCTTCAATAATAAATCAGTAAAGAGTGAATTTATCAGGGTTTTGTTTATCTCATGGTAAGCGTGAGACCCTCTTCCTTTGGTAGTAATCTACGACAACGATTATTTGAAAAGTTTCCCTGAATAGTGAAATTATTGGTCCAGGGATGGGGTTTATTCTTGGAAGGCTTTTATTGAGTTGAAAGCTTGTCGTCTGTGTTGACACAGCTGCACAAAGGCCTCCTTTCTCCTCGTAATTAAAAAGAATATCATTTTACGTTTCTCGCGACACGTTCGATAAGTCATATGCAAATTTTTCGAGTTTTTTTATGCCCCAATTGAAAACTTGTTCTCATTATCTGTCACTTAAACTGAGTTACAAAATCGACGTCACTTCGTTAGTTCCTTGCGGTTGATGACTTTGTTCTCTACATTTCAAATAACCTTATGTCCGGCCCGTTGTGGCGTAGAAAGTGGCGCGCGAAACACTAGTACGTTTAACCGTTGCGCGGGGTTCACGGGGGTACGTCTCATTGCGTGTTATATGTTCACTACACATATCACATATAGAGTTGGCTTGCGAATACAAACTGTCTGTCTGTTCTGAAAGATGACACAAAAGGACTTGCACAAACACGGTTAATTGTCCGCGAAAAATTGCAATTATCGCTCAAACGAACGGCATTGAAAAGTACCCGTGCTAGAGTTAACCGGTTATTTTATAACGAAACAAAAGGGGGATTGCAATGACAGAACTTGTTTTGACAGAAGGAGGTCGCTGAAATTAACAGAAGCCAACAGATATGCCAGTATAGTTTACAGATTTGTCAATGTAATCGGTCACGATGAATCCGACGCTAGCATGCTACTGTGTTTACCAAAGGAGGAATTTCCTTTCCTCTACAGGCCCTTCGCATTTCCATAAGGTGTTTCCTAAGTTTCCTATGATAAACAACCACGTTTCGTTAGAATTGGCTGTCATTGGTTATATCTTGGCCAATTAATCGAGGGGGAGGGCCATACGATTTAAAGCAATTCTGATATGAAACGGATCTAGAGTCCCCCTTAGAGGTTTAATGTAGAGAGATTTCATAGAGCCCATTTAAGACAGAAAATATGTGTATTTTACAATATTGAATCTGATAATAGTCTGCCCGAGGCTAAGTGCATGTGTACTGTTCTATTCTCTCTTTGCTTTTCCATTTGACATTTATCCATGATCCATGATATATCTGACAAGATAGCCTCTTGCAATTTCCTCTCGTAATTTCCTGAAGTACTGTCAACGAATTATTCATTATGCTTTCATTGTCACTTATAACTACAATCACTAAGGAAGTTGTACAAGTCTTCGATAGGTCGACATGAGTGTAGCATCTCAGTAATTCATTACTTTCATCTCCCCTGTAAGTGCTACCCTTCTCGATCCGCGGCCACTCCCTTGCTGAACACAGCCTTGTGCACATCTACTTGGGCACAGTTCATAGATACACACGTGTAGAAATGCCTCTTGGGGATGGCGACCATTCTCGTGAGTACTACTGTTGTCAGGATCGCGTAACAGGTGAAGAAATAATCAGACTTGGGGTAACTAGAGGCCTTTGTGAACACTTAAGTGATTCTGAAAAGGTTTGTCAAGTACCAAGTGTTAGGTATGACAACTTTAAGCACCTCAGTTCTTTATAGTTTTGCCACGATCTCGAAAAACTTGCCACCTTCGAAATGCAAGGGCAACTCAAGCTTTTTTCCGCAAAAAGACAACAAAATCTACAGCGCCGGTGATATTGTGTCTTTATCTTATTAGGGCATTGTTTACGATTTTTTCGCGTGTACAGTTTCATTTCAATTCTTGCCATGGATCGATTCCCTCTTGATAGTTGAAAAAAGAGTGCATTTGGATGCCTGATTGTAGTCTAGCTCTATTGTAATTTTATCACTGCCCAGGAAGTGAGAGGAGAGGTTAGCGATAGTATCTTCGTTTGAGGAAATAACTCCGGTGTATGAAATATAGTTTATCTTTCTAAGTGACACCTCCATCAAAGTAAAGCTTTTTTTCTGTGTAGATCTCGGTAGCCTGATATTTGTCAATGTACTCTGAAGACCGTGTAGTTACTTTATCAACAGAAGTACTATCCTTACTTATAGCTTATTATTACTGTTATATTGAGCTAAATAGTGACCGAGTTGAGTGTTGGATACTTTAGTCCTTTGTTTTTCAGCCGATTACATATTGCTACCATAAGGACTTTTCCACCCTGTCAAAAATCTTTTCTCAGACAGATGTTTATGTCTTTACAAGTTCACTTTCATAAAACTGCTATCCATTTGTTTTTCGTACGGTTGTTTGCATTTGTGTGTTTTGCATTTTTAAAGAAATCTTATTTGTCTTTGCCAACGCTGAATTGTCAGGAGTGTGTTTGTTTTTACGCGCTTACGAAAATTAATAAAAAGATTCGGAAAATCTCATATTGGAAGAGGTCTCATTTGCGCTTTGCTGTGACAGCAGTTAGGGCTATGCTTTTAACTCATCTACGTTTCCACTATTCGTTTTAAGTGGGATTTTAGAATGACTTTTATCTTTCTGGTTTAATTATAGAATATGTCACATGTTTACTGAGTTTATATAAGAGCTGTCAATCAAAACTGTATTTCGAGAATTAATCACGAAGCAAGCGTTGGGTAGGTCTTTACTCTGCTCTGGTTGTCGGGGAAAAAACCTTGGAGTTCGGAGAAGTAATTCAGTTCTTCAGTGGCTTGCTAATGATTCCAGGTGCTAAAATTGTTACGGTTTGCTTTCTTTAAAGGTGTCATTAACCTAGGCTAATTGGTACACTGACAGTCCTGCCACAAGAACTCTTCTGTGGAAAGCAATACTCGAGAAAATTCCCCTCCAGTTTGTCAGGCTACTCATCACAAATTTGACCAGCGATTCAATACACCAGACCATCTGAAATTGCAAGAAAGACGTTGAAATTTGCCCTTGGCAGCTTAGATAAGCTGACATAAACATTCGATATTCAAGTTTAAGCCCTTGAATGCAAAAACCAATGTGTTGAGGCGGGATTATTTTAGCTAGCTAGTTCAGTGTTGAATCTAAACAGGTCGAACAGTACTCGACTATCTAGGTTACTAGTTCACGAACCAAGTGCCCGTTTATAAAGCCTTGTTGGTTAATCGCTACAAGGAAACGATTTTGTTCGTTTATTAAATCCTTTGATAAAAGTTCCGACTTCCAAGTAGAACAAAGAACAGTATTCTTGATGACCAAATTATTGAATAGTGCAAAAATATGTTTGCTTCACACCTAAATCCAGACGTTTCAGACAGGTAACATTTCGGATTGTCTCTGAACTTTTTTCTTTCATTATAGGACAATCTCTCAACGCTTCGATCGGTTCAGATGATGGGGGAAGTGAAACGGCCGAYGACGACCAAGGAAAGAAAAGTCAAAAAAAGAGAGGGATCTTCCCTAAAGCAGCTACAAACATAATGAAGGCTTGGCTGTTCCAACACCTTACGGTAAGAGCTGCATGCGACTTTGGAGATATTTAGAGTGATATTGTCAATAAAGTCATGAGTGACCTTTGCAGTCATCAGCGCTAGTACTTTACGAGATGTATTTTTTCTACTTTTCCTGTGCTGCTATGTGATGGTTCGTTTTATGCCCTTAAGCATTTAGTGCTCTACCTGGTGGTTTCCTTTGTTGTAACTTCCTTGTGCTCTATAACAGGTTGCTTAAACACCTTAACTTATTGTTAAAAACCCTTTAATATGATACTTGTCCATTGTATACCTTGCTTTTGGGCGTTAAGTTTTTAAGAAAGTAGAAAAACAAACCTCATAGTTTTTGTCTGTACGAAACTTTGAGCTTCAACTGTGTCGGAAGGTCTCTTGAGTTCATTCGCGAGTCGGCTTGAAGTGGTTTCAACGAAAGTGGTTTCAACGAAACTATCCTAGGCATCTAAATTTTGCATCGATCCGTGTGCATATATTTTCAAATTTCGAAACTGTAATAACCAATGCTTAGAATTATTTTTTGAACACTGTACCTTTTTTATTCAGCGTGAATTTCGTTATTTTTGAATTGTCTTGATGGATGAGGAAGGGATGAAGAAGAACGTAGAGATGACACTGATCCTAAATTTTTCTTCTTTACCGGTCTTTATACCAGCTCATCTTTAAATAGGATAAAACTAATTGGCTGAAAATGGCAAGAATAAACTGGGCTTGAAATTTTTAAGTTTTGTTATTCTTTTACCTTCTAGAAAAAAAAGTTGTACACGTTTGCCAAATCAATTGAAGCGAATGTCGTTCTTTTTGTGTGTGTTTTCAGGAGTCGGTTTATATTTGGTCGTTAAAATCCCTATTAACCAAGAAGAGAATGCAGTTATATGGAGGGTCTCATATATAAATTAGTCTTTCCGTTTTGTTCGCGAGGACTTAAAGATAAACCCTTTTGACGTGTGGGACTTCCTTGTGTGTCCTGTTCAATTAGTGTGCCTTTTTTATGATGCGACATTTTTGCCCCTAAAAGTTGACATTTAAAATACTTAGCGAAAGAACTATGCCAAGAAGATCTTCTCTAGGCTTACAAGTATTTCTTACCCCGTTATACTCAGACTCAAAATTCTGGGGTTCTGTCTTACAAGACAAATCGTCGTGAATGTGTGTTCCTAATCCTGTCAAATCCTGAAGTCTGTTTGAAGTTGAACGAAGTGTGTTCCCTAGACAAGTACAATCTGTTAACTTAAATCCTGAATCCTGACTATCTATCGTTACATTCCTCGTCTTTTTGATTCCGAAAGAAATTCCAACTCAAATATGTTTGCAAAAGAAAAAGTACTTTTTTGAAATTTGGGTGAAAAATACGACAGATGACAAAAGCCGAGAGACAGAACCGTCAAAACTGTGTGTTCACTTTGAAGCTCATTTTCATAGAGTACCAGCGATTTAGTATTGTTTAAAACCCTTCTAAAGATTCATAAATTCCCGTTACCTAAGAGTTAACTAGTCATGGTTAGTGAACACGTATAAAAAAAATGCCATCATCATTGAAATTTTGCTTGTACTTTCACAGCACGCTACATGCAAGAAATAAATTAAATTCTCAAGGTCTTTGTGGTTTTGCTCAAAAGTCTAAACATTAAAGAAACAAAGGCATCCTTTTGCAATAAGTATAATCAATGGCATCGTGATCAGCCCTTTTATTGTGACTCGCGATTTTGTTATTAAAGTAACTAGCAATTGGGATATTATTTTGCATGCAATGAACAGAAATGCTTTCACTGTCTCGTGGTTGTACAAAAGACATCAAGCTTCGAACTGTTGGCGGTCTCCTGTGTTGAAAAGAACAAACGCACACTTTTTGCTTCATTCATTTCGTATACGCGTTTTGTTGTGATAAACCACTCCTTGGTTTCATGGAGTGAATACGCCATGCTGATCACTGCACGATGATACCAAAACACCTACATTAAATTTACATTAGGACATTTTTAGACTCGAATCGATCTATCATAAGGTTCGGATAGACCAGAATATAACCATGCAATCGAACAAAAACTTATGTCAATGTGTAAAGCAGGTTGCAAGTGGCTTGTAATCAGTCAATGACAGGAAGACAAGAGCTATAGAATATCTCTTTCACTGTAAACGTTCTTTCTGTCACTTTTCAAGCATTCACTTTTCAATTCTTAATCCTACTTCATGTTGATAGGCTTTTGATTCTTAATGTTTAAGGTAGTATAGTAGTGTGAAAGTGTCATCACTGCATTAAACAACTAAAGAAACTGTATACCCTGAATAGAGAAGTGAGGGAACAAAGGTGTTCGACCCCATGTGCCTCCTCCATTCCAAGGCACCTTTCGTTATACTTCCCAGCTCTTTCCTAAATGCAACCGTTTCTTTTCTACTAACTTCTCATGAACGTTTGGACTTAATTAACTATTGCTTAGTAGATCATATTCAAAGCACGGGATAAGCTAATAGTCGTCAAAGAGGCAAGACTAGAAGGATTCTTTATTCCTTTGGTATAGTAGTAAAAGATTGAGCAATGCGTTAATTCAAAGGCAACTTTCCTGCACTTTCTACCTCTTACCATACAACCGTTTTGTTTTTTTTYCTACTAACTTCTCATAAGCGTTTAGACTTCGTTGACTATCGCTTAGGAGTTCAACTCGAGGCACCGGGTGAAAAACAAGCTGTTTTCGTAGAGGCAAGAGGGAAACGATTCTTTATTCCTTTGGCATAGTAGTTTCATTTTGAGCAATATGCTCTTTCCTTAGCACCTTTCTTGCATTTCCTAGTCTTTCCATACAACCGTTTTTTTTTCTACTAACTTCTCATAAGCCTTTAGACTTAGTTAACTACCGCTTAGTATTTTATAATCCAAGCACCTGGGTTATTTGATATTTTTCTCTTATTCTCTCTGTTTTCGAAGAGGCAAGAGGGGAACGATTCATTTATTCCTTTGTTATAGTAGTGCAAAGTAGAGAAAAATATCAGTTTCTGGATATCTTTCGCCATTCATTTCGATTGTGATTTCAGTGTATTTGAGATTTACCGCTTGTCATGTTATGTTGTTAATGTGTTTTTATTGTGTAGTTGCGAAATTAAGTTGGATTTTTTTCTCTTCCTTCGACAGCACCCATATCCGTCAGAAGAACAGAAAAGATCTTTAGCGCAAGAAACTGGTCTGACAATTCTTCAAGTAAACAATTGGTAAGATGTCACATTTATAATACTCTTTCAATTGTGTTTTACATTGAAAACTTCAAGACATATATACATATTCCTTTCCTCAACGCGGCATCGAAACATGAAAAAATCCCAAGAAATAATATCTCTTATCTCAAACAAGTGTTAATAATAAATGAAAACATGAAGCAACAACATAATCTTATTCTATTAATCAAATTTCCGACATACTTATTACCATTAATTTTTTGCCCTCCCATTTAATTGACAAAGATGTCACTCTTGTTCCATAATTAACGAGTGGGCAAGATGAATCACTTCTTAATTGCCACCAAGTTTACCATATAAAATCAATACCGTTTCAAGATAAAATAGAGGCTTTTAAAATCCAAGTCCATGAATAATATTGATGCCACTTTCTCTCTAATAAATTTATTTCAAGGAAAAGCACACTCTTTTGTCAACATGTGTTCTTTTTATAAAGGAAAGACCAGTGATAAATTTGGAAAAATGTATAAAAATAGCTACACCTTTCATTCTGGCTTCATCGCCCTTTGTAAAAACAAAATCCTGGAAGTCTGGAACAATATTTGAGAATATGTTTTAAGAGTATTGGTTTTGACATTAGTTGTTAAATTTGTGACATAAAGATAACTTTTTTCTTTGTGTCGTCTTTTTTTTTCTTTTTTCTTTCTTTGTTTTCCTTGTTGAGACAACGATATGTTTCTAAAAATTGAATGCAAATTTTGATGTTGCTGGAGCTGAAGGACATGCTGTCGAAAATATGAATCAAAGGAAAAAAATGGGTAAAATTGGATTTAACACAAAAAGCCTTTTGTCAAAGAACTGATCATCTAAATTAGTCTTCCTTTCTTTGCTTTAAGCAATGCTTTTACTTTGGCCTCCTTATTAGCAGCCACAAAGCAATCCAAACGTTTACATTCCATTTTCTTGTGCCTCTCTGTTGACTTAAGCAAAAATCTTTTGATCGTCGTCGCCCTTTGATTTTAAATTAGAAATTTTTGCAGGCATTTTAAAGCTCAAAGATAAGCAGACAATCAAAGATACTATCTCATTAGATTGCTTTTAAGGCAGGCCTAGAGTTGTTGTGCGGTTCTACGTTTCATTACCGATCAATGAAAGAATAGTTTCGACACGAAACACGACGTGTGCGTAGTTATTGTGGTTCATTATCGAATCGGTCCAATTAAAAGTGACTGATGATAAACCAATGTATAATTGCCAGTTGTCTAAAAGAATTAACGTCAGGCCATCAATGAAACCCCCAATTAACCTGTGTTGGGGTTGTCAGGAATGCCATGAATAGCGCTTAATCTGCTATGATTCGCGTCTGGGGCTTAAACAAAACAACAGCACACAATTAATGAAGTGTCCACGTTTAAAACACTGACTGTCAAAGCTGACCTATTTCGGAATTAAAGAGCAGATCCCCCTCTTTTTTATTGGTCACTGATATACCCAAATTGATCAATAGGTGACAATTAATTTAACCGTCGATCAATCTTGATTAAGTCACAATCTATCGATAATGGCTTATACGTTTCACTGGAAATAGTCTGTTTACAAGAGAATTTTTCTTGTTTGTTCTATTTGGAATTCTAAAGTAAAAAGATTAAGAAAAAAAGAAGGTTTTCATTTCTATTCTTTTTGTATTGCCGAAGACCTGTTTGTTTTTCTCAACAATACAAAATCTGTAATTTTTGTACATGTATTTTCTAGTAATCTCAAGTTCCAAGCCCAAACAAAAGAACAAGAAAAGACAATTTCCTTACACGATATTCAATCGATTTTTTCTAAAAGCTTAGCAAACATATGTGCCAACATGACAAACATACTTTATTATTGTTATTTTTAAATTCTGATTTCGCTCCATGTCACTTTTTCTTGCTTTTAGCTTGACGTTTATTTAGTTTGCTTTAGATAGTTCTGACGTCTAAAAGTTTAAATTTCATATGTGGAAAAAAAGGTTTCAAAACTCTAGAATGCCGTTCCTATGCTTTTCGTTATTAATATTTGATGAGATTGTTTGTTACCGTTGGTGCTTATTGCCACAGCGCACGGTCTGACGACAACCGCGTGTTGAAATGGGGAAAAAAGATGACAAAAGACTGAAATGGGATTTTTTAAATTTTTTTAAAGAAATAATTGGAAAAAATATTAAATTTTAAAATATTTTTCAAGTATTTTTGGGTTACTTCTCATCATGCCGGTACCTAAAGGACCTTCTAGAAATAGAAAAGACATTCTTTGAACCCGAGAACCCCTGACAGAGAACTCAAAAAGCCCTTGAATTTTCAAATTCAGACAAGGAAAATATCTGTTTCTGATTGTTTTCCATGTTTTTAGTTAAACAGACATCCCATAAACAACTAAAACTGAATTATTTATCAACACTAAAAATTCTGATACTTTGATTACAAAATGATGGAACATACATCGAAAAAAAACTGGATTTTACTCAGATGTCTTCGCAAAACTTGTATTATAGCGTGTTTTTCTTTGCATGTTCTTCGTTTTAAGCTCTTCATAAGCTTAAAACAAAGCGTAGACAGTGTGAGCAGGTAAAATTTTGGGAGGAAAACAGCATCATTATATATACTTGTCTTGGGTTTTTAGAAGAAAAAAAACCCAACTGTTTTCAAATCAGATGAAAGGTTTTTGCCGACACTCAAAATACTATGCCACGTCTATAGTAAGCGGTCTATTTTCGATGTAACAGTTCCCCACCCTATATTCTAAGTTTATTATTTATCTTATTGTGAAGTGCGCCGAAGTGCAGTGATTATCTTTATCAATTGTTCTCCGAATACGATGATACGACATGGTAGTTGTAAGCAATCCTTTGTTTTGAGTCATTGTTTAGGTACATGATTTATGTAAGAGGTAACACACTGTGCTCAGCACGATAAACCAAGCGAACACGTTCATAAAATAGAATGGAAAAGATTAATAAAAGATGATAATAAGATTTTAAAAAGTTGAAGCTGTTAAAAGACTCTTAAAAGAAATCCTTATATTACTGAAATCTCTGCCAAATGTTGACTGTTTTTTTTTTCCCCATCTCAATAATTCCGAATATTCATCTAAATATCATTTTTAATGAAAAATTACTTTCCCTCCAGGGGAATACTCCAAGAAAATTGTCGCAGATATGGTCTTTAAAACTTCGTTTTTCTAATCATTCTGTCGTTGAGCCTGATTCAAGTTTGAATTTTCTCAACCATTTAAAACGAAAAAATTATTTCAATGTAAAAAAAAACAAAAAAACACGTTTATTAATGAGGATTTCAATAACGTGTCTTCCAGAATGGAGCAGAAAAAGAAAGAACTCTTTGAAATAGGCACACCAAACGCATTAAAATAAAAGAATTAACTTCATATGTCACCTTTCTAAAATATAAAAACACTGATGTGTTATCTTTTTGGCTTTTCAATAAAACCTTTCAGAACGATCAAAATTTATTCACAAAGTGCCACGAAATGAATAACATGCCATGTGACAATAGCATTTGTGAAGATCGTTGTGGAGGTAAATGTCACATTCGTGGCTAAACAACTACGGTTGCTTATAACAATATGTCAAAAAAGTGGCGTGGCGGCAAGCTATGACCTGTGAGAACTAAACTAAAGACAGAACATTAAGAACTGTCTCAAATAGTTACTGCTTTCCCGTCTTGCGACCACGACCACATGTCTTTTTAGACACTGATTCTTTTGTCGTTTCATAAGGTTTGGTACTGAATTTCCCTTGTATTGGAATGCATGTATAGGTGTTAAATGTGCGGTGTATTCGCATATGAATTATTAATTACCAGATTATAAAGATTGTATTTTGTTATATCTCCGACGGTTTTGAAAGCCGGTTTTGAAAGAGAGTCGGTCAGCATAGGCTCACACTAGATTACTTAAAAACCTAATCAACTCAATATGGCACTTAAATAATTCATTTGTCATCGCTAAAGGATCAGAGATTTGGTAGTCTATCCCTAAGTGCTATAGAAAACGTTTAAAACTGGACAGATTTCCATTGTAGGTAGTGACAGATCAATTCACTTAGATGACAATTAACGGGCATGGGAATTAAATGTAATTAAAGTAGGAAGTGGTTTGATAGAAAGCTACTGATGTTTTGAATTGGAGTGATAAGAGCCTTCCTTGAACTTTTCATGACACAAAAAGCTTTAAACATAATCCGGAAAACCAAAACCTATCAACCTCAATATAGCAGATGGATGAATTTTCTTCGATACGTGTCTAGTTTGGATTTTGGTTTACTTTGACAAAACTTGTGTTCCGCAGCCCCATGATGCCTTACGGCCGTGGTGTCTCGTGCTGGTCTTGCTGTCAACATCATTGTCAGTTTTTGTTTCCACGTTGACTGACTGCTTTGTTTAGAGATGAAAAAAGACGTCTTATTTTATCCCAACAAACTCATCGTTCGATTTGTTGCATTTTGATTTACTGATTCGATTCGAATGGAATAACGATGACACTTCTTTTCTCGTGATGTAAAAATCCTTCACTGGTCATAAATGTAAAGCGCATTGAGATATCTGAAATACGCTATATAAGGAACTCCCATTATCATTATTATTATTATATTATAAGTTATTAGGAGTCTTAAAGTATATTTTGTTGCCCAATTATCATTTATTCACGAGTAAAATAATCGCGACCTGACAAGTTTTTGAGGTTTCCAATAATCTGGAGAATTCGAAACAGCCCTCAGTTCTTATCTTAATGAATGAATACTGATATGAAGGATGTTTCATGTTCCTAATTAGATTTCGATCCTTAACGTTCTTAACCCTGACCTCTCTTCCTACACAGGTTCATCAATGCCAGAAGAAGAATAGTACAGCCAATGATAGATGCTTCAAACCGTGCAGGCAAGTCCCCAGTAGTCACGGTATTTAAATCAAGACGAAGAAAAAATTCTCTGGGACAAGGGATTCCTTCTCCTGGTCCTCCGAGGTATGGACCTGGTCCTGGGCATCCTCCTCCCGGGTACTATCCTGAACAGCATCATCCACAGGCGCATCCTAACTACCACCTTGACGGCAGCCCTCAAGGACACTTTCCACCGCGTGGCTACATGCCGGATACAGTGTCTAGTGGGATGAGTACCATGCAGATGCCAACCACTGTCTCACACACCATGCACGCTCAGTTACCTGCACATGCCTATAGACAAGCCATGCAACCATCGGTCCAACAACCAATGTACATTCCTGGACACCCTCACGCTATGATGATGCCTCCTCCTGGACATCCGCATGCACATGCACATCACCCTGGACATCCAGGCCAGCTTATTTCGTCGAGTCAGACCTCGCCCTCGATTATAGTTAGTGAAGGGGTCATGACACAGTCAGTTATGGACATGCATTCAAGTTAAATGACAATCAACTCTATCTACGACAAGTCTCAAAGCTGCTTAGAGTTTAACTGAATCATTAGGTTTGTTTCAAAACATAGAATCTGATATGTACCAACTTAGTAACTTGATGTGCTCGGGCCATGGAAAGGGAACCAAAGGGCTTGCTAGACTAGAGAACAAATTCTAGAAAAGGTTTTTGTCATTAAAAAAAAAGATTATGTATAGAGTACCGACGGCGAACCTAGGAAAAATACTTTTAACTCTATAGGATACCATAGCGTTAATACTTGGTTATTTTTCGTAGACACGAATAGCAACAATCCCTTTATTCTTTCTACCCAGTTGGTACGTATTGGAATAATTATTCCTTTCAATCACGTTGAATTTGAAGCCATTTTTCTCTGTTCTGTTTAAGAGAAAATAGTCTTTAGCTCAGATGTGATATAGTAATATAGAGAAATAAAACAAAGGATGAAATTGAAGTACAACGAGAAGGTGATGGCCACTTCATCGTTGGAACATACGTTTAAGTTTTGAAACTACTCAGTATACTTTGGCTGTCCAATTCTGTACTTGTTTGAAGAGTACACTGAATATCATGGAGAGAATGGAATGATAACTAAGGCGTTATTTTGGGGCCACAGGAAGAAAATCAATATTGTCTAACTACCTCGAGTTTGAGGGAAAAAATTCTTAGTATCGATGTTACAAAGTTTATACTATTCCTGTATTATTGTGAGAATTTTATCAACAGAAGATGGTCCGTGGCTAAATTTGAAAATCTTTTCGTATTAAACGAATACGCAAACTTTATAAACAACGCTTACATATTATATATTTGTAAGCAAGATTACTTTACTTTAGGCGTGACGTCATCCTGTTCGAATTATATTTTCAAGAAGCTTCGAATGGGATAACGAAAGATCTTTCTCTCAGTAATTTGCGCGCGCTGTTTACGCGAAGAAAGGAGCAAAAAAAGTTGTAAAACTGTTTCAAAAATTCCAAGTCAGAGACAAACAGTTCAAATACTGTTACGAATCCTGACTTCAATTATTGTATTTTTATATACATAAAATTTTTGAGATTGTGTTCCATATTTTACGTTTATTTTTTTACGATTGGCAAACACGTTCACTTGCTTCCTTGTCCTATATCTTAACCTCGTAGGATCTCATAGGATATTTWAAAAAATCCTTTACAGTTTAATGAGTGCGAATTTCTGAAAGAAAGATCTATAGTTCCTTTGCTGTCAATCCAAGTCAAACGGTGGGGAATCTCTTTCATTGAGAGTAAAAACGCCGGTTTCGGGATTTATTGCAAGAGGATCTATATGCCAGAAGTTAAGGTAGCTAGATTGGTTTTCGTATGAGTGGAAAACGATAAAGCAAATTGGTAGTACTTTTAGTGTAGTATCCTACCATAACCGTAACTGCGCGTTGTGATTGGATAATTCAAACAAAAACAATGTGGAGTCAGCACCGCGAGCGCGCTTACCACTCGTGCAAAAACTTCTTTATTGTAAAGTACCGTAGGTCGTTTGAACTTTAGCATCCGCCATCAAATCATACTTTTCAAGACAATTAAACGTTTTTGTCTTGTGCTAATGCCCTGAATTCACCGTACTTTAGAAAACAAGAAAAACAAACTCTATAAGTTAGGACAAGGCAATATTTCTGTTTTAAATATATAAGCTGTCAAAGAGGTTAGTTATTAGAAAGGGAAAACAGCCTTTTATTGCGCTCAGAAGTTAAAACTTTCTGGGAGATTTTAGTTATATTAGTGCTTTCCCGATGTTTAGAAAAGAATGACTCCTGTTTCAAGTGTAAACCAATGATTGTGTGAATAGGCAAAAAAGTAGTTTCCTTAAAAAGGAGAAAAAACAGGATAGGCTACACTTTTTTATGATTATGAATAGTTCAAAGAAAAAATGTTAACAAAATATGATGATGATGATGATGAATGATGATGTATTATATTCCCGTCTAACAGTTTCTAGTATTTTGTTTATATATAAATATTTATATAAACATATATGAATGTGGCGCTATTTTGTAAATGCAGATCTAGATTTAGTCTTTTAAACTGAATACGGAGTATATAAATATGTGATTTACTGAATCTATTGAAGTGTGTGTGTTTCTTGTGAACCTTTAGAATAGATAGCCTGACAAGGAACTATTGTGTCATAGTAAAATTCTTAAGGGCAATGGCATACTGAGGGGTTGAAGAAGTCTCCGGGTAAGCGGATGTCGTAAATAATTTAGTCCGGATAGATAACGGATTTAGAGTAAAATATAATCGGCTTGGCGGATCTTACAAATACAACAGATTGCGGTCCTGGTCCCGGCCGAACCAACACTCGGGGTCTTAAAATAAATGAGAAGAAGGTAATGCCTTTGTATTAATTACATCTGAAAATGGTTAGACCTTCACGTTGCTCGGATGATCGCGTAAAATGGCGGTCCAGTCTCTCCACTCATCATTACTAACCAATATCGGAGGGACGTAAAAAAGCCACTGAGGACGTAAAGAAACCCTGACAGTGACCACCCTYAGTGCCTACACTTCATACTAACCATCTCTCATGCTTGTAAATTGCATAAGAGCAATTTGATTACATCCATATAGAAAGGGCGCTATAAAATAATAAATCATTATCATTGCGGTTTCTTTCTTTCTTTCTGGTCCGGAGTTCGGTTTTGCTCGTTATAGAGTTCGGATCTCAGATCTAAACCCTCTTCAGAAATGTTTTACCGTTGTGTTTTCTCGGCCGAGAGAAAAGATACAAGGCAACTGTGACATTTTGTGTATTCAGATTTGACAAACTTTTACGCAGATCGACGGATTCGGGCTTTATTACTAACAGATCAATTGATTTACATACCCCTATCCACACCCCGACCCTATGTTATTATTAATATTATTTTCACAATCAAGTTTAAATTTTAAGCAAATACTTGCACTCGACATTCGATAGAATTCTCTGCTTTATCCCGCACTAACATTTTCGTGGTCAGTCGCGTTTCTCAAAAAAAAGCTAAGAAACCATTTGCACTCCGTACCAACATCGTCAACACCAAAGCCCCCACACTCGACACACGCGTGCGGCCATCCAATCCACTATTGACATTTATAGGCTCTTTCCACGTACAGATAAAGATAAAGAAAAACTCAACGCAATAGCCCAATAAAGGTGAATTATTAAGAAAAGCGTTGGAATCTGTTTTCTGTCTAAAGTTAGAGCAAAGATAGGTGTGGCAATGAGCGGCTTGATCCCATTACAGGAAAACTGTTTAATAAAAGCACCACAATCGTCTTAGTTGAGTGACAAATCCAAAGGGCAACTCTGCCTCAGCGATCATACCTTGATAACGGGACACATTTATGATGTATACTATAAAAAGGTCAGTCAGTTGGCTGGCTAGCCCGTAGAAGGATACCAATTATACAATAGTGAAGTAATCATCGAATCATTAGACCTCACAGAGTGTTAGATATTTCATCTCTCTTTCTCTATGTTATTGATGAATGAAGCTGAAAATAACCCATTCAAAAGAAATTACATGTTCGCTGTTCAAGAGGCGTGGTCCATTGATAAGGTAAACTTTTCCACGGAAATGTCTTTTAGAGGTTCAACTGACCCCTTAATAAATTCTAAAGGGGTTGATAGAACTTGTGGTGATCCTAATTTAGGGCATTGGATTAAAGCCTTTAGAGCAAAATAGAGTTAATTGGAAAGGGTAATCAGGTTGATTGTTTGATTTCACTGAATCTTTCCCTTATGATGTTTGGTTTTTCAGACTGTCAAATTAGCCTAAAGTATAACAGTTTTATCAGGCAAGACTTGGATCAGCCCTCTAAATGAAAAATTTGATGACAGACCAGGGGCAGATCCAGGAATTTGTTCAGGGAGGGGTGCTGCGCACAAGGTTAACCCTGGGAGGGGTGCAACCCTTAGAATCAAAGGGAAAAACATTATTTTGTATTGGTTATCTTCGAAGTATAGGGGCACAAAGTTGAACCAGGGAGGGGTGCGCACCCCCTGCACCCCTCCCCTGGATCTGCCACCGCAGACTCATGCTGCTCCTAAACTGTGTGGGAGTTCAAGAAGGGAATGGAAATGGAAAGGGAAATGGAAGAAGAAGAGGAGAATATGAGAGATGGCCAGCCCTAATTATAATGCATGTAAATCCACTTCTAGTCTCACTCCTTTCCTCTGCAAGGATAGCATCTTTGGTACCGCATTTTAGGTAAAAAGATTCCTGTGCTTGTAATAGATTTGCAACAAAATAAGTAGGGAAGAGAATGAGGAGAGTAAGAGAGATGGCCAGTCCTAATGCAGGTCAGTGAATCTGCTTCTAGCCCCCTACTAGTCTTCAAAAGTTTAATTAATGGCCATTCATCAAGAACTATAGATTGATTGATTGGTAGATAGATAAACTCTATTTCAGTGTCAAGATTAATTGGGGACACAATATTTTATATGCTTTGATGTTTCCTTATGACCAAACAAGATATATAAAAGAGCTTTGTCATTTAAAATGAACCACTAAAAGCCTAGTCATTGAACTATCTTATCAATATTGGCTTAACATCAAATTATAGGGTGTTTAAGAGTCTTGCCATTGATATTTGATGAGTCGGAAGATTAAACTCCATGACTTGGATAACTTAGACATAACAATAAAAGATAAGCATGAAATGCAATGCAGTTCACACCTGTTTGACTACAACCACATTTGAAAACCATAGCAAATCAATCAATATTGCTCTGTTTACAAAAACACCACTGGTACATTTTATTTTTTGTTGTAAGTACATTAGAGGTTAGTCAGATGCTGCTTGCTGAGAGGAGAGCCGTGCTCAGGATTGGATGTGCATGTATCACAAAAACCATTCAAATCCCTTAATTACTTATTTATGAGTATTTATGAGATATGTGTGCCTTTGATATTATATTCCCAGTATTATCTACTGGGTATACTTCAAAATCACATCCTTTTTTGTAAAAATGCTTGCCTAACAAGCCATTTTCACAAAGATACAGCTTATTGTACCTATATTGTACCTATATAGGTACAAAATTGCTGCCAAATATATCACACATCTGATATATTCTAGTCAACCTTTCATTGTCTTTTTAAGACTTTGTTCTAATTTAAATTTTTCTTTCACTGTTACCAGCATTGCTTGCTACCTCTTTTCTTAGCAAGATCTATTTTTACCCCATTTTAATAATAAAGTGTCAAATGAATCCAATGCAATTGTTTATCATTCATAAATCATTAAGGTAATAAGGGCTCCCAATGCAGCAGGTCTCCCTTTGTCCCCCTTCCTAAAGCAAACCAAATATGAAGGGCTGCATTGAGCTATTCTCTTATAAATGTAGTGAGCTTGGGTTGCCTGTGCATTAACTTCTCATAGTACCCGATTACACTTTATTAATATAAAAAGATTTGCAACTTGCCTTTTCCTCTTGTATTATTGACCACTAGTTCATCCAACAAAGGGACCCCAATATCACATGGATTCCCTTAAAAACAAAATGGCGGGTTAATGTAGGTAACTCAGTCCGTTAAATACAGGTATATTTTTAACAAAGTAAACTAGACGTCTCAACAAAAATTCTGCTTTCTTTGAGTACTAAAACAGCAAAAGAAAAAATTAGGTACAATCTTCTTGGAACAACAACGAAGTGATGAGAAATACAACTGAGGAGAGGCGGATTACTAATTTTAGAAAAAATTTGGTACATACCTTGACCCAAAAGCTCATAAAATTAAAAGGCCAAGAATTTTTTCTCGGGTACCGTAAAAATTATAGATACCTTCAATGAACTGCAAGAAGAAGATTTATATAAGATAAATACACTTATGTGAGGACTAAACTGAGCAAAAAATCTAAATACATGTATTTGGACTCACGTGTTGTATGGTTACTGGCGGGAAAATGAGGGGCATTTTGAAGCTTGCCACAGGGAGCCCAAGTTTATTTAACTGAAACATCGGATAATCAGAAAATTCGAATAATAATAATAATAATATTAATAATAATAATAATATTTATTTATAAAGCGCAAATACAAATCTGTTCTAAGCGCTAGTAAACAAACGACAAAGACAACGACAAAATAAAATTATTTACAAAGAATATGCTAATTTGAAGAGATAAGTTTTAAGTTCAGTTTTGAATGAGGCTAGACTTGATGCATTTCGGAGATATTGGAAGTGAGTTCCAGAGTTCAGGAGCAGCCACAGAGAAGGAGCGATGACCATAAGATTTAAGATTATAAGAATGTGCTGATAGAAGAACTTGTGATGCAGAACGAAGATTAATAGTTCAGGTTAAAMATCGAATAATCAGAAAATTCGAATAGTTCAGGTTAAAAATCGAACAATCAGAAAATTCGAGTAGTACAGGTTAAAAATCGAATAATCAGAAAATTTGAATAGTAAAGGTTAAGAATCGAATAATCCCAAAATTCGAATAGTTCAGGTTAAAAATCGAATAATCAGAAAATTCGAATAGTTCAGGTTAAAAATCGAACAATCAGAAAATTCGAGTAGTACAGGTTAAAAATCGAATAATCAGAATATTTGAATAGTACAGGTTAAGAATCGAATAATCCCAAAATTCGAATAGTTCAGGTTAAAAATCGAATAATCCCAAAATTCGAATACTTTTCGGATCTACGATTTCCACAGGAAGCCCGTAGATACGAAACAAATTCGCGCCTTTTTTAATAAATCTAAATAACGCCTTTGTTGATTGGTCCTTCGTACCAATGAAAAATAAGATTGATTTTGATTGGTTGATGAGTAATTATCACGTTGCTGTGGTAATGGCTCTACAAAGCTCTTGAACTCAAGGGTTCCATGTTTACATAAACACGAACATTCTATTCGATAAATCCTAAACAACATCTTTAATCAAGCCCAAAAACAAAACCAGTCAAAGCTGATTACTTCTAAGTTGAATAAACATGTATGGACCATAAAGGTTTAGGATGTTGCAGCGCCAAAATAGCTCCAGGCCGTACACCAGTGGAAGTTTTCGAACCAAATTACAGTTGTTCGATGAATTTATCAAAGAATTCACTTTCGTTGATGAAGAATTAAACCCCGAGGAAAGAAGACAGATTTTACAAGATCGTCTCACAAATGGTAAATACTTCCTATATATCTATTATCTTTAGTATCTGGACTTCGATGTTCGTCTGTTTTGAAATACATATTGTGTTATCTCTAACACAAACAGTTCATTAAATCTTTCAGGATACGAACCGTTCTGCGAAGCCATCAGAAATTTGTTCGGCAACGATGTCACTACTCAGGACCTGAAAGCATTGTTTAGGAAAATTGCCCTAAATCCTGATGCCAAAGTCGATTGGAGTGAGGTAAATCCTGTATAGAATCATAATTAGTTACTGAATAACCTCTTTCAGAAGCAAATTAACTTATTAATAGAATTAATTAAAAAGTTACAAATTCACGTGCAAAAAAATTCGTATTACAAAATATCACTTTCAATGGTTCTTTATTGGCCTCATGAGGTGCATTAATTTTTTGAATAGAAATTATTATTATTAAGAAGGGATTAAGTATTTATAAACTTCCTCATAGCTATTTAGATGTATCTCAATACAGTTTTTAATATGTTCTTATTCATTGAAGATGATGAAAAGATTTTGCAATTAATAGATGTTTTTATTTTTTTGTTCGTAGCTGTTTGGTATTGGTGGGGCTACCGATGAGGTACCAGACCTCCTTCTTAACGAAGACACTTCCTCTGTGATTACGACAAGCAAACGACGCACAGTTGGTGAGGCAGGAGGTGGGTATTAATTTTTATAAGGCCCAGACAAGTCCAAATTTTACCAGACAATATATTCATAGACTGGGGAGGGGGGTAACCTCCAGGGTAAGAGTATCGGGTAAGCTTGTCAGAAATTTTCAAAAATACCCCTTAAAGAAACAGGAATTCCTTTAAAGAGGGCATGGTTAGAAAATGTTATTACTGTTTTTACCCTAAGAGTTATGACGAGCACACTGGATACTCTTATCCTGCAGTCACCTCTAAACCAACCCCCCCCCCCCTCCCCAGGTTCATTTGACTGGCCACTATTTATAGTCATGGTATAAACCAGCCCTAAATGACTGGCTTCTTATTCTTGACTTTGAGAGGAACTTTGTAAAAATACAGTAGATTGTTATCCTTCACTGCACATGAAAACTATTATGTTTATACAAAGTGCCCCTCAAATTTGATGCAAATGAGCCCAATCAAAATGCTTTATGGGTCGTAACATACCAGTGAATATTGCTTTTATTATTATAATAATAATAATAATAATAATAATAATAATAACTTAAGATCTAGTCTTAAAAGAAATATGTACCCTGGATATAGAGTAACGCAAGTCAACATAGTATTTGACTTTCTATCTGGGTACCACACGGATTTGATTAGTAAACTGGCTGATGTAGGCCTCACTGAAGGACTAGAAATTGTAAGAAAGTGTCAGAAATGGGTTATTTCACGGAACTGTGAGATTGTGAAATGTCTGTACAATTGTTAAATTTGTATACATCTTTGTAAAATCAGTCATGCAGGCATTTGCTTAGACTATTCATGCCCGCAATATTCTGTATTCATGTAGCAAAAATGTCTGAAGTTGAAATAAACATATGATAATAATAATAATAATAATAATGGTAATAATGTTTAATATTTATAAAGCGCAACTTTAATATGTGAATATGATTGAAATGCGCATAATGCTTCTTTTACTTACGTAACAGGAGACAAGAAAAGAAGAGATGTTGTACAGTGTATTGAACATGTACCTAAATACAACTTCTATGTCACTGCTTCTCAAAAGGGTATTATTTGCCAATGGAGTAACAAGGTATTTATTTTAAATTTTGAATTTCTTAATGATCTAGTTTTTGTTTATTTGTTAATATATTTATGGCACAACATGACCACGATAGTGCCACAACCAAGCATTTTTATTGTTGAAGGCTGAGCAGTGTTCTCATGTGCCCTGTGACTTTCATTTAAAATGTGTCAATAATTCTGCCGTTCCATTTTAAGTTCAGCTCTGTTTCGATTCCAAGCTAATTAGTTGATCATAAACCCACCATTTTGCATGTGACCTTGAAATAAATTTTAGAAAGAGTCTCATCCTGTTATTCAATATGACCCCAAACCTCAGTTTTACACTGATAGAAAATGAATTATTTGTATTTTCAGTTTCGCTTACAAGCCTGCACTGATATCAACGTACGTATCGTATTAGTATGACTTCACATTACTTTTTCTCTTTATTTGAACATACTATAATAAGTTTCTCATCTTTCTCATCTCATCTTTCTCAATCTTTTAGGAATCATCCTGGGTGACTGGTTGTGGCTTTTTGCCCAGTTTACGGAGGATAGCAGTAAGAAAACACTTCATTTTACACATTTTCTGTGTTAATAAGGACATGTGGTGACAATTTCTCACCAGCATTTTACTTCTTGCAGGTAACATCTGAAAGAGCTGTAGCATTATGGGATTACAGAGCAAAAAGAAAACAGTCTGTAAGTAAAATGAATTATATGATACAGAGTCAATAGTAAAGATCTTCTCCAAAATCACTGTAGGTAGCTAGGGTGTTGGGAATGTCTCAGTAGGTTTAGGTTGTTAGAAGGGTGGAATGTCATTAAGGTGTTGATAGGGTGTCAGTAGGGTGTTGGTGGGATGTCAAAAGGGTGTTGATAGAATGTCAGTAGGGTGTCTGTAGGGTGTTGGTAGGGTGTCAGTAGGGTGTTGGTGTGATGTCAAGAGGGTTTGATAGAATGTCAGTAGGGTGTTGGTAGGGTGTCAGTAGGGTGTTGGTAGGTTGTCAGTAGGGTGTTGGTAGGTTGTCAGTAGGGTGTTGTCGGGTTGTCAGTAGGGTGTTGCTAAGTTGTTAGTAGGGTGTTGGTAGGGTGTCAGTAGGGTGTCAGTAGGGTTTTGGTAGGTGGTCAGTAGGGTGTTGGTAGGTTGTCTGTAGGGTGTTGGTAGGTTGTCAGTAGGGTGTTGGTAGATTGTCAGTAGGGTGTTGGTAGGTTGTCAGTAGGGTTTTGGTAGGTTGTCAGTAGGGTGTTGGTAGGTTGTCAGTAGGGCGTTGGTAGGTTGTCAAGAGGGTGTTGCTAGGTTGTTAGTAGGGTGTTGGTAGGGTGTCAGTAGGGTGTTGGTGGGATGTCATTAGGTTGTCAGTAGGATGTTGCTAGGTTGTCAGTATGGTGTTGGAGGGATGTTGCAGGTTGTTGGGGGTTGCTGTTGGTCCATACACCCTACCAACACCATTTTAAAGATGATTCAATCTTGTTATTACACAGACTATTTACCAGATAAAGCCAATAGAGAATTCACCCCAGTGTATGACTTACATCCCATGGAAAACCAACTCCATGAATGAAGACACTTTACTTTTCGGAGATGACCAAGGTAAAATCGTACCTCTATTACAAATTACAAGAGAATGCCAATGATTCCAAAATCTTCAGCCTCAGACCTGTTTACCATGGGTGTAATATTTTCCCATTTCAACCGTTGAGCACAGAAATGATACCTTAGAGAGTATAGTAACACGTGTTCTGAAAAGGGAAAACATTAAATCTGAGCTAGAGGTCCATACTTTTGCTGTTGTTATGTCTTTTTTAGGCCATGTTGTTCAGTGGGAATAATAGAATCGTTTGCGTTTGTATTTCTACAGGTTATGTAAACATGTTGACCATCTCCTCCAAGGATCTTCATATGAAGAACTCAAACACCAAAGCAGATTCTGTCGTTGTCAACATAGAGCCCAGCAAGCTTAGCAGGTGAGGGAGAATGCATAGATTACGCAGGATTTAGATTCTTACCAGTAACTGGGCATCATGTACTTTTATATTCATATTTGAGGTCTTGCATTTAACAACTAAAACAGCAAGCTTTTAACTGCTCTGTTAAGTAACAAAGCACACAGTAATTGACATAAGCACAAAGGAAGTGTGAAGACAACACAAGCTGTAGGCTAGTGCTTTTCGCATATCTCGATTGCTTTCGGCTTTAGTATYTACACTATATAATAAAAATGAATAGTGCATGATATTTTATCATTTTCATCTTTAAAGTCATCATTAAAAACCTTTTCACAGACTGGGTTTTTTAGCCTGCATGTAACTCAACTTTGAGTGAGAGTTGCTGAGCTGATGCATATGATTTTTTTATTATTTCATAGTGAAATCAAACGAAGAAAATTTCATGATGACTGGGTTCTTAAAGTAAGTGAATACAGTTACCTTTCTCAATCCCTCAAATTTTGTTCTGTTTTTGTTTGTTAATCTTGTCCTCCCTGGTCTTGTACTTTGTTCATTTGAAAATATGCTCTCCTGTATTTACCTGCTTGACACAAACTCTTTAATGTCAAACATGTTATTTCCAGATAAAGTATTTCCCACAGTTAGAGATGTTTGGTAGCTGTTCCCCGAGTTCAACGTGTTCATTTGTTCTGGGTAATCTTGATAGAGTGTTAAATAATGGGTAAGTCATGACAAAGTGCTCTACCCTTGCCAGCTGTACTTTCAATCTCAGTTTAGACTACAAGTCATTGTCGCTTCTTGCAGCTTTTCCAGTTATCAAACTATGAATCACACGCGCCGAATCGTCGTTTTGCAAAATCTACGATGGCGATGTCAACCGGAAGTGTAAATAATTTCTCTTTGGGGTTCTGTTCATTGGAGATTTCATTCAAAACATTGTCAGTGAAGTCAATTTATCCACGTTTTGATGTATTTTCTTTTCTTTTTCCAGTCCTGTAAGAGAGCTTGCTGTGCCTAAAGGTGTAAACTGCTTTGATTATTGTATGAGGGCAAATGTTATCATTACTGCAGGTAAACAATTTGTATAGTTGATGATCTCCCAATATCTGTATGGACCTGATGGATAGTAGTAGAAAAGATATTGGAATAAGAAAAAGATCCTGGTATAGGAAAACGGAAGGTCATTCAAGTAATCAGGAAAAAATAACGATAGTATAGAGTTAACTTACTAACTAACCATATTTTATTTTTCTCCTTAAGGTGCAGATAAAATCATCCGAATCTGGCATCCCTTGATCTTCACCAGGCCAACAGGTAATTCTCTCCATCCCTCTCTATTTTACCCTAGTTCGTTCGTTCGTTCATTCTTTCGTTTCTTCCTTCTTTCCTTCCTTCCCTCCTTCCTTGCTTGCTTGCTTGCTTGCTTGTTTGCTTG